TTTTTACAATTTTTTTTGAAAATCTCAGGGGGGCTGCACCTTGGCCCCTGGGGCGGGGCCAAAAAGTGTGTGTGTGTGTGGGGGGGGGGGGTCAAAACTTGACCAGCCCCCAAAATTTTAAGAATTTGAATAGAAAGTGACCGTTTCAGACCAGGTTCGCATATGTAAATTTGGTGATAAGTGGGACGCCCTACCATGCCATTTATCGGCATTTTACCATGTGTCTCTAGGTGCACCATGCATGTCTCCAGGTGCCCCACTATGGGGTACTTGGAGACAGTCTGCATCGATGGGTTTACAGGCCTGTAACTTAAGAACGGGTTGGGATAGAAAAGTTTTCATTTGTGGGTTTTGTAGGTCAAGAATACAGTTTGGTTTCCCCAAACTCTCGACTTCGTGGGTGGATCCATCTTTGTGATATAGACGCGAAAAACAAATCCGTCTCCAGGTGCCCCACCCTCCCCTACTCGTCCAGGCGGTGCCGGGCCGTGCCGGGCTTCTCCTTTGCCACTGCGTTCAGGCCTGATTGCGCGCGGGAGCCTGGGAGTTATTAGAATTGCATGGGGAGAGAGTGGCTGAGCACGCTCGCCACGCCACGGCCTGCCGTGCGGGCTACCGTGCGCCCCGCAAGGTACACCCAGGACACTCCTGGAGCAGGTCTCGTGCACCGCCACCGCCGCTGCCGCTGCCGCTGCCGCCGTGCCCCTCGAGACCCCCCTGAACCTCTCTCTCTCTCTCTCTCGCCAAGGTCGCCCCCAAATTAGTCTCCATGCGTCAACAACGCGTTCGGGATTACTTGGCGCACCGGGAGGGCGTAGGGCAGGGCCGGGGCGCCCTTAATTCCAGACAGGCAGACCTCTCTGTGCTGCACCTGCAGCGGGCCGCCGAGGTGGAGGTGTGTCGTCGGGTCTGAGGGACGCCGACAAGACATGGCGTCAGCACGAGTATGCACTCTGACCTCTCCGACCCTGTGCCTGCTGGATCTGCTGCACAAACGTTCTCCATTCACTGTGAAAAATGCGTAATCTCGAAAATTTACAAAACTTTGTTGTAAATTAAAAATAACAACATATGCTGTAAATTTTCGACGGCTTTGTTAATTCCTAAGTCTATATGGAGTGCTTGTAAATTTACTATCTCGATTTGTTTTTTTAGGACAGAGACAACATGGAAAATTATCCCGTAAACCTACAACTATTTTTCACGGTGTTCGTCTGCTTTAAAAAATATTTCTAAATGAAATAAACTCTTTTTCGTCTTAACTCGACTGGTTGTCCAACTGTACCACTCGCGCCGCCGCCGCCACCCCCCGCCCCTAGAGACGGATCCCATTCACGGCCGCCGCCCGCCCCGCGGCTTACTTCCGGCCCTCTGCGCCGCACCGCCGCACCGCACAGCGCGTCGCTCGCGGCAATTGTTTTTATATTTAACCCGTTTGCAAGTGTTTTCATGGGTGGCGGAGGGAAGCGAGACGCGTCTGTGTGCGTGCGTTTCGTACTGTGCGTGTGTGAGTGTGAATGCGTGTTTGGAGAGTTGGGAATTGTGTGTGCGTTTGCTATATCTGCGGCGTGTGGTCGTTGATAAAAGCGCTATGCGCCATCTCCTTCTCCTGCGCGCGTTTTGTTCAAGTTTTTGACTGACAGTATGATTCTGCGTGTGAAAATGTTGGAGGCCCACGCCACCGGCGCCCCGCGCATCCCTCTCTTCCCCTTGTGGAGTAACTTGGTGTGCGTCAAGGCGTCAAGCCGACTCGGTCGCACGCCCGGCCCGACCTACTACTCTTTGAATGCGGCCCGGCCTCGGGCCCGGCCCGACGACAGAGTCGACAGGGCCTCGTCTCGTCACTGGAGCGCGACTCCCACGCCGCTCCAAGTGCGATGAGCTCATTCAGTCAGTTAGAACGTGGCGACGATAAAGGAAAGATACACAAGCCAGCGTAATGTTTTTGAATTTTTAGAAAATTAAAGGAATGTAGAATACTCGTGCAGATAAATAGCAAAATGTTGTGGCACTCTAGT